GGGAGGAATAGCGCCCCATTGTTGGTGTCAGTGGGAGGTGTGTCCCATCATTGGGGGGGGGAATAGTGTCCCATCATTGGTGTCCGTCCCATCATTGGTGTCAGTGGGAGGAATAGTGTCCCATCATTGGTGTCAGTGGGAGGAATAGTGTCCCATCATTGGTGTCAGTGGGAGGAATAGTGTCCCATCATTGGTGTCAGTGGGAGGAATAGTGTCCCATCATTGGTGTCAGTGGGAGGAATAGTGTCCCATCATTGGTGTCAGTGGGAGAATAGTGTCCCATCATTGGTGTCAGTGGGAGGTTCCATCATTGGTGTCAGTGGGAGGAATAGTGTCCCATCATTGGTGTCAGTGGGAGGAATAGTGTCCCATCATTGGTGTCAGTGGGAGGAATAGTGTCCCATCAGTGGGAGGATAGTGTGTCAGTCAGGGAGGAATAGTGTCCCATCATTGGTGTCAGTGGGAGGAATAGTGTCCCATCATTGGTGTCAGTGGGAGGAATAGTGTCCCATCATTGCTGTCAGTAGGAGGAATAGTGCCCCATTCACTAAAAAGTTAGTTACCAAAGAAATGTTCCAATAAATACAACACTTCTATTATACCAACATCATTGCGCCAATGTAATAAAGAGGAAATACACTCACTGGATGCTGCTATTAAAAAACTCAAAATAATAATAAAAATGTGAAAAATATACAAATCACAAATAATAGCACAAACCAAATCACACAACTAAATGTAACTACCACCAAATAAGTGCATATTAATAGTGCAAACAAAAAAAAAACAATAAATAGGGAATCTCAATATAGTCCATTCAGAAAAGTCCATATAAACATGATCCTCAGTAAATGAAGTAATAAGATCCTCCTTAATAAGCAATGTGGAATTCAGTGCTCAAAAACACCCCATCAAAATGCACACTCACCATGTGCTAGTAATTAACCAGCATGTCAGTATATATCCAGCATTCACCAAACAGACTTCAAAGGATGATCCTCATGTGTTGGTAATTACTCAGCATACTACAGTGTATCAAGCATATCACCAAACAAACTCCAGAGAAGATCCTCTCATATCCAGATTAGCACATGTGGGTAAAGAAAATACTTGCCATAGTGCAGTATCATCCAACAAATTTATTGCCAAACAAACCCCCCTTAAAATCACACTCACAATGAGCAAATAAAAACAAGGCGTTTTGTTATATCAGAGCTCCAGTCTCTGCATCCTGTGTCTCACCAGCCAGCCCGCATTCAAGACGGTAGTAGTGCGATCACGTGATCCGGACACGTGCATCAGCATGAGTAGTGATGTCACAGGAAGGCCACACTCTGACACATTTCGTCCAATGACTTCTTGTTTTTATTTGCTCATTGTGAGTGTGATTTTAAGGGGGGTTTGTTTGGCAATAAATTTTTGGTTGTCCCCAGAAGAGTAAGAGGGGAAATTTTCCAATGGGGACATTAGTCCTGATGACCAAGGTGATCAAATACCACCAAAAGAAAGCTCTATTTGTGGGAAAAAAGAATAACAAATTTAATTTGGGTACAGCATTGCATGACTATACAATTGCCAGTTAAAGTAATGCTGCACCGTATCGCAAAAAATGGCATGGTCAGGAAAGTGGGTAAATGTTCTGCAGGGCACGTGGTTAAAGCACAGTCCTGCAAAACAGGATTGTGTTGGTTGTTGATTTCCCTGACCAGTTAGCTGAAGATTTACAGAAAGAAACTGCAGCAACAGCTGGATGCAGAGCTGGGTTTGGTTAAAGAAAGCCTTTAAAGTGTTACTAAACCCACAACAGTAAAATCAGTCTGTATATGCAGTAAAGCATGGATGATATACTCACTGTGAAACCTAAGGGGTTAATCCTCTGCATTGTGTAAAAAAGCAATTTGATCCCGATTCTGTCCTTCTTCCAGTATCCCCCTCTTATCTCCTGATAAGACATATGTGTGAAGACACTCTGCACATGCTCAGTTTGGTGTGTATTGCTAGCTGGACACTGATAGAAGTCACAAGACTACTATATACTGCTGATGAGAAAAGGTATTTAGCAGTTTTTATTTACTAAAATATTTGCATTTCCATGTCCTGTGTACTGCGGGAGACCAGATAGAGTGAATGTAGGGTAATGGGTTTAGTAACACTTTAAGAGCATCTCAAACTTTCTTATCTGCAAAATCTTTGAATGATGGACAATCTTCACTGATTCACTGTAGTCTTCCATATCTTCCTAGAACACTGCCTCCAGGTCCACTTTCTATTCTGACTGCCTCTTCTAGGCCTGGCATATCAGGATCCTACTCAGGTGGATATGGTGAAGCTGGAGAAGGAGCCTGGAATTTTGGAGTCCTGGATAGCTATGGCTGTATAAAAACCATTAGCTGTAAGGTGAAATTGAGACATAGCTGCAGAAAAATCTACTGCTTATTTCATGCCTAAATTAGAGCTAGAATCAGATGCAGAGACTGGTATTAAAATCAGGTTCTGGTCCACTTCAAAAAGGTAGCAGAGTGAATATTCACCCACGTTTTTGTTAAGGCTCCCTTTGTCCTGTTTTCTGCAAAAACTATGGGAAACGGTATTCCAATGTATGGTACTCATGGAGAAGGGTGCAGAACATACAGTAAGAATGTCTGAGAAGGAATATGCAGCAATCCAGGTGAAGACTGTTCTGTAGTAAAGTCCACATGATATAAAGGACTAGAGGAAGCACGTGAGTACCTTATAAAGGGTTCTAGGCAGAAGTGGCTGTAAAGTGTTTGAACTGTGATGTAACACCTTGTTATCAACATAAAACCAAGCTCTAAGTGATTTTAGCTCCAAGTTTGAAAAGTTTACAGTGTAAAAGTGAATAGATGCCAAACACAGTCCTGGTTTTTACGTTAATAAAAACAGACAAACCTGCGTTTAGGTCTCAAGATCAAAAAGGGAGCAGCTAACACATTAAGTAGCCAAAAAGTAATCAGTGCAGCACTAGTTTCCTAATAAACATATCCAATTGGAGCAAATCTTGATTGGGGATGAGGGTCCTTCTGGCCCCTATTGATACTATGCGACAATGTCCACGCCGCCCCTGATGATGTCACGTGGAGCCACATGTTATTGTGCACAGTTGCAGACTGTCTTGTAGCCATCTTGGTGGTTGGAAACACTGCTGAGATGCTGGTTTTTATTTTGGAGAATGTAAGTGCATATTGTGTGGGTATTCGTCTTTTATATGGTGCTTGTTATGTGGAGAGAAATTTGCCATTTGAGAGTGTAAAACCTGGAGAAGCACTGCATATAACCTGGATTCCTTGCGCGGCTACTTGGGGAGTCTGTGATACATCTTCTGGACTGCGCTATATGGCCAATCCTTTCAGTGGTCAAATCCTTTGGTAAGAGGCTGTGTGATTGGATGGAAGGTGAATGATTCTTTATTCTTGGCCTTCTTTTCCAAACACCAGCACCAGCAGGCTTATGCGGACATCTGTATGGACGAATACTTAAATTTGTGTGTTATTTGCACCTGGTTATTCCACTACTGGTGGGGCATTTATTCCTAAAAATGGTTTATAGATATGTGTATTCGGAAACTAGCACTGCACTAAATACTTTTTATATGCTTGTTTTTACAGTAACCGTCAGATACGGGGTGACTGTCTTACCTGTACATGTTGCTAATATATATATATATATATATATATATATATATATATATATATATATATATATATATATATAATATATATAATTATATTATGTATATAGGGTTCAGGTTTCATATGTCAGAGCAGGAATACCCCCAGCGTGTCTTCGGGGTCTGGGTTGCATAGTCAAGGACCACGACCCTGCTGCTAACTACATGCGTTACACAAAGTGCTGAAGTGAGTGCCCTTGCAGAATCCAGTGCCCACAGCAACATTACAGGCTGTTCCCACAGTGTGGGATCGGAGTATGGCTGCTAAAGGTTTTATCGAGGTTGCTCCTATCTGGATACACAGTTTCTACTGTTACATTAGAAGATAGTGAATAATTCATTGAAGAATTAGAAGATAAAATAATAAATAGTTAAGCTAAGAGTGATTTCTCCACAAGGGAGAAGAGGTCCATTACCTTAAGACACTAGCAAAAAACAAAGGGCTCAAGGAGTAGGCTGGGGGGCGTATACTGAAAAACTTGCCAGTGTATACTCATCTAAAAACACCAACATTAACACATTCAACTAAATAACCTTTACATTAGCTGTAGACCAATAAACCCCAGAAATATACATTTCAATATTTGCTTTATTCTGCATATGGCATTATAAATATTATACTTCTAAAACACCAACATTTTAAAAGAAAAGTCCAGCAAAAAAGGTGTCAGCTAGGAAGAAGGGGACAAATTATATGAAAAACACAATAAATCAATCAACACAGCTGCTATCCTTGAAAACTCTAACTACCAACTTTTTTTTTGAGGTGTGTACGTGTGCTAACAAAGATTCCACCATTCAATAGTGTGGTAGTAACAGAACTTTAAATTTGGCTACCAAAAAAAAAAAAAAGCAGCCTCACATTATTACACTAACGAAGAATATTAAATGAAATTAAATAAAATTTAAAAAAACACAATAGAAAAAGAAAAAACCTCATACTTGTCTGTGTATCAGCTAACTGGCAGCTTTGATAATAGAAAGTTGAACCAGATGCCTGCAACTGATGTACATTTCGTGTGTGGACTTAGTGACTGCACTCATCTCCTGCATATTTTAGGTGCATCCAGCAAATGTCATGCTTACACCCTATCACCACACAGTTAGAAATGTTATGAATGCAGGGAAAATATGAATAATCAGACCACATATGGTGACCAAAATGTGTCAAGTACCCCTTAAATATTAAAAAAAAAAAAAAATATCCCAGAGGGTTCAGACAGTACATACTAAAACTTCATAGCCAACAACCCTTGTGTTAATCCCCCACGGACTGTACTGCTACTACACAATCAAAGAAGAAACAGAATACCAGTTGCTGTTGTCTGCGCAGTTCTGAGATCTCCTTTTGATCAGCTTCATGCATCCTCTTGAGGTCCTGACAGGATTGCTGCAGATGATTGAACTCACGCTGTAACTGGGCATGTTTCCGGCGCAGACTCTCACTATCTTCTTGAAGCTGCGTTTGGTCGCTCAACACACGACTGTGCAGAGTGCTAAATGTAAAATACGAGAATATTCCTTAGTCAAGACCTCAAAAAACAAACATTTTACTAATTATATACACCCAACAATAATTTGAGGATCCCAGATAATGAAAAATAAATAGAATTTTTTTATAAAGACTATAAAGAGCTGCAGATATTGGTTGGGTGACCAGAAGAATATAACACTGAGACTTAATACTAAAAATGGTCTTAAGAAAACATGCACAAAACCTCTGGTAAAACTGACCACTTGGACCTTTGGGATAGTATTTTTTTTTTTGTGTTTTAAATGGTCTGCAGAAAAACAGGTTTCTTACAGCACAGCTGAAGAGTAATCATGCTAATGTGGCTGATGGCTTGCTATGAGACTATATAGTATTATTAGACTAGGTTCACATCTACGTGGTTCTGTGAGCCACAGTGTGTGCGCGGGCATGGCAGCTCATTTATTTAAATGGGCTGCCGTGCCTTGTGAAACGCAGGGAAAAGATCCCTGCTGCATTTTAGAAATGGCAGCCCGCATGAGAACCGCAAGTGCAATGCGGTTCACAGTGTGAGAGCGATTTTCCAGCATGTGTGGCATTCCATTAGCATTAATGGCACCCGCACACAACTCCTGCGTTTTTTAGTGCAGGTGGAAAAAAGAAAGTGTGACGGGAGTGACTTTGGGGGGTGGGGAGACCCCTGTCTCAGCCCCCCAAACTCCTCTAATGTGTAAGTTGCCCTGTGCCTGTTAGGGGTACAGGGTGATCTGTCCTGCTATTGTGTAGGCATGTATAGGTGGGGTGTTGGGGTTGTTCATTGTTTAATGCCACGTGGTTGTCCCATTGTTCTATTATTTGTCTTGCTTGAGAGCAAACTATTATGGGATGTATGGGTTTGGGTATTGTCTACTGCCACATGGTGTATCCCATTGTTGACTGCCATGCGGCTGCATCCCATTGTTCTAGCAAACTATTATGGGATGGAATGTTTCCGGCAGCCCTTCCCCCTGATGGGATGGCCTGCTTATGTGTTTCCTGTCTGGGTGTGTATTTCCCCCGCCTTGTGTATATACCTTATATCAATGTTAAAATAAAGCAGTCCATTTCCTGTCTTTCATACAAGACTGGTGTGTCTCGTCCTGTTTGGTCAGCGGTGGTGTCCAGGGATCTGTGTTTGGACAGGGAAGCGGGAGTCTAACGGAAATACCCAAGTGCAGTCGGGGGTCTGGTTCCGTTACATAAAGCATTATACTTTATTAAAAAAAAAGTGCAGTTCTCAAAAATTACATATCATGCCACTCAAAAAAACATAACAGAGAAACTATAGTTAAGTTAGGAGATGCCACATTAATTTGTTAAGTAATTGCCAAATAGAAGAAGGTCTAGCTCTTAAAAAAAAAAAAAAAACCTGTTTACATTTTGCTGGTGCTGGGATGCATAGAACAGGGATGTTTGATTCCTATCGCCCGACGCCCGGGACATGTAATTCCGCGCCCCGGGCAGGCAGTTTTTTTCCCTCCTTTAGCCCTGCTGCGGGCAAGCAGCAGGGCTCACCTGTCAGATGAATCAATTAGCGGCAGCGCTGCCGCCGATTGCTTTCACACAGTGCCGGCCTCTCCGCACCCTGGGCATGAGGTTTCTCGGGCTCCACTTGCCCATCTGCAGGCCAGGCACGCCATTGGCTAGAGAGGAGGGAGAAGAGAGGACAAGTCAGCTCCCCTCCCCTTCTTGTGCTGACCCGAAAGTGACATTATGTCACTTCCAGGTCCCCGTTGAGAGATGAATGCAATCCCCAGGAAAGAATGCAATATGGTGCAGATGTGCACCACATTATATTCAGTGGAGCAGAGGGGAGACATGCAGCGTCCCCTATGTGATGGGGAAAAAAAAAAAAAGTTATTTTGATTGTAAAAAATGAAAGTTACACCCAAGAACATACCATCCCCCCCCCCCCCCCAAAAAAAAAAATTGAGTCCCTCACCCCCACATATATGCATGTACAAACGTAAAAGCAATTGATTGTTGATTGCGATACACGTCACATATTTGCGCACGCCAGAATGAAAGCAATAATTCTAGCATCAGACCTCCTCCGTAACGCTAAACTGGTGACCTATAAAGGGAGTTTAAAAGTGTCGACCTATAGAAAACATAGGGTACTGAAGTTCGTTGCCATTTCACGAGCGCGCACAAATTTAAGGTTTTACAAGTTGGATATCAATTTACTCGCTGCAACCTCATTTTGTTATATTTCACACAAAAAATAGGGTAATTTATTGCTTTTTTGTGCCCTAAAATTAATTTACTTGTATTTCTTACTAAAATTCTGTGGTAAAATCATCTGACATAAAAAATTGGAACTACCACTATTTTATTCTCTCGGGTCTCTGCTTTCAGAAAATATATAATGTTTGGGAGTTTTGTGTAATCTTCAGGCCTAAACTTATTTTTTTAAACGTGTGCAAAAAACGGCTCAGTCAGCGAAAGGGATAAAGGATAAGCCAGACACTCCCCTTTCCTGACAACCAATCGTTGTTCATCACACTGCAAGGTCTCACCCCTCCCTGCTAGGCCCTAGGTGCAATGCTGGAGAGGCGCAGGGAGGGGAGGAGGTGATAAACAGAGCAATGGTAAAAATATTACACGTTTAAGTCACCGTAAAGACTCTTGTTTTTAAAAGCCCCAGACATTCCTAAAATCACCTCTGATTTAAAAACGGTTTTAGTTAAAAAAAATTTTTTTTTTTTACCAGGACAAGTAGATTGTCATGAGGGACAAGTAGATTGGGGCCCCGATTTAGTCCCTGGACAAGTAGTTTTTTTTAAAAAATTCCACACCTCTGATATAAGAAAGCGCAGTTTTCACAAACTGTACAAGAAAAAACTATAGTTATGTGATCTTTCACAAAATATATAAATCCATGAGATACAGAGTCACAGGCCGTTTTAACCTCCCATCTTTCTACTGAACAGTGACGTCTCCATCACATTACAAAAGCAATAGGTATGTTCTGAATATGTGGGGGTCAAGCTTGATTTTGAACCAGATAAACATTTAACATCAAATGCCCGTATCTCCTGACCCACTTATCAAATTAAAATGTTTACCTGAAGATTAAAGATCAGTGTATGCATGTTTGATCATATGAGCAATCTGAATCTTTTCATACCACTGTTGCTTTTACTAGCTTTCTAATCCGAGATTTAAAGGGCTGAAAGCACAAGTTATCAGCACAAGGCAATATGTCACACGGAGTCCTAGGCAGATCTGCTATGCAAATGAGTTCCAGTTGAAATTTGCATAAGCACAGGCATGCGCTACTCCCCCTCGACCCCCTCCATACACAGCACAGCCTGATGACCGATTGCTCTGGCATGGGGCAGTGTATTGTGGGATGGAGGTACAGGAGTTGCGCCTTTTCTCAACCATGCAAACTTCAAAGCCTGCAGGAGGAGGCATGTATTGGCACTGTAACTGACCGTATGATTGCACTTCTGGCTCTCTTTCATCACCCTGTTAGCACAGGTGGTTTAAACCTTTTGCTGCCAGGTCCGTATGGCACACAGACCTACAGAAACACTTACAGTTAGCCATGTCTGTATGATCTGCAGACCTGGAATTCGTTCTTCTGTTATAAGTTCATGGTGAACAAAAATGTTCAGCAAACAAACAGTAGCTGTGACCAGAAGCAGAGATATTCACCCAAAATATGCCCCGTGATATCGCAACAAAGCCCCGCCCCCTAAAAAAAAAAATTAAAAAATTTATATTTTTTTTTTTTGTTCTATTTATTAGGGCCTCGTACACATGGAACGTACTACAGTGTATGCCCATGCAAGGCAGTGTTTACCCACACGGGGATACACAGGTGTACCGTGCATCCCCATGCAGGCAGTCCCATGGATGTCAGTTGACATCAGTGAGCGTGCATGTTTCTGAACTCACACAGTCTGCATTTAGAGCTATGCACCTACAATCACACAGATGTCAGATAGGGAGCAGCGACTCTGTTCGTGCATTCGCTGTGTCCCAATTGACATGAATGGGACTGCCTGCACGGGGATGCACGAAACACAGCCCTGCATGGGTGTACGCTTTAGTATGCCCCATGTGAACAAAGACTTTTGTAAGGTATGTTGTGTATGTGTGCCAATAAGGATTTTAGTGTATTTTATGGGTCATGTGCTTTCAGAAAATCTATGGTTTCGGGGGTATTTTACAAAGTCTGAGATCTATAAATGAAAAACGCTTGTTTACAGTTTTGTGCACCTTTGATTTTCACCATTGTGCAACAAGGCACAATCTAAAAATGTACAAATATGTTATTTATTAACTCAATATAGATGTAGCTTTTATATTTAGTAGGAATTTAGCAGGAATTGTGTAAGGTTTGCTGTGATGATATTCGCCAATAATGATTTTATTGTATGGATTAGCAAAAGTATTGTTTTGATAAACATGGTCTTATGCTTTCCAAAATGTATGTTTTTTTTTTTTGGGGGGGGGGGGGGGGTTCTTTCACAAACTCTGAAAGCTGTAAGGCCAAAGTAAAAATTGCAAAAATGGTCTGGTCACCGACATTTAAAAATGCAAGCTCACAGACAGGTAACAAAAGGGTTTAATGGCACACAGTGTGTTGTTTAAACTTCAATACAGTAACTTTAGGATACTCAAAAAGCTAGGAATCCTACACTAGATAGAAAAACCTACTCACTGGTAAAAATCTGCTTCCTTCGCTGCTTCTTCACATTTCTTAAGTGCCTTCGAGTGTTGGCTTTGTAGCGCTTCAAGCTCAGTCATAGCTTTCATGCACTGAACCTTCAACCGCTCATAATCAGGTGACAACTTAGGGCTCGGCCTATGATGATAAACATAACAAGGTTTATAATTATTTGCCAACTCACATATTTATTATTTATATTTATTAAACCTACGTAATGCTCAAAACAGGTTGCTATATAAAAAAACTTGGGTACCGTGAATTTGTATGCTTCCTGCAAGAAGAAATACATCATCTTAAAAGCTCTTACAGTCATTGCCAAAAATACTGGCACCCTTGCATTTCTGTCAGATAATGCACCACTTTGCCCAGAAAACTTGCAATTACAAATATTTTTGCATGTTTATTTCTTTTATTTGTATTGGTATGACAAAAAAAAAAAAAAAAAAGTGGAGAAACAAAAAGCCAAAATGTGACACATTCCCTGCAAAACACCAAAAATGGACTGCACAATCATTGGAACCTTCTCAAAATTGTAAGATAGTTGCATTCCAAGTTGTGATGCACCTGTAATTTGTAATTAAAAACGCACCTGTATCAATTAACAGGTGTGCTGACAATATAGAAATAACACCGACAACTAGGTTAAATGGTGAAAAATTTACTCAACCCTTTCTGTTGTGTGACTGTGCGCCACATGCAGCAAGGAGAAGGGGAAAAGCAGCAAAAACTGAGAACAAAAACTGTGGCCAATTTTCAGCTTTCATTCCTATCACACTTTGAATGCCAATTGCGTGGTCATGCATCACTACCCATATGAAATTTTTAGCATTTTTTTGAGACAGATAAAAACTTTAATTTTGGTGGTATTTTTTCACCACTGGGATTATTTTTTTTTTGCTATATAAATGAAAAAGTACAAACATTTTGAAAATAAAGTGTGTTTTTTTTAAATTATCCTTTCCTTATAAATCATGGCCAAAATGTATTCAGCTATCTTAAAAAAAAAAAAAAAAAAAAAAACCCGACGGGAAGTGGTTAAAGAAAAGAATACAGTCCCTACAGTCAAGGTGGTGGAGGCTCACTGATGTTTTGGGGTTGCTTTGCTGCTTCAGGCACTGGATGTCTTGACCATGTGCATGGCATTATGACTACCAAAGAATTCTGGGATGCAATGTAGGGTCCAGTGTCAGAAAGTCAGGTCTCCATCAGAGGCCATGGGTCTTACAGCAGGACAACGACCCACAGCATGCGTCAAAGAGTACAAAGCAATGGTTTCAGACAAAGCGCTGGAGAGTATTGAACAGTCAAAAATCAGGGAAAATGGAATTGGGAAACGCCTGGGAGTCCACGCACAGTATCTGAAAGTGGAGGTGCCACCAGAATATCTGGAAGGGTGCTACCTAATCAATTGTCAAAAACAAAAAAAAAAAAAGGGGGGGGGGGGGGAGGCTACACATTGAAAAAGGCTAACCTCAACTTAAGGAGTTGGTTCATATAGGGTTGCCATTTACTGCAGCAACCCTTACTTTAGATGCATTTTTGTTTTTAGTTATGGGCTTCACCTGGTGCGATACACATATTTATGTGTCTGCGTGTCTTATTTTCTAAATGTATATTTTTGCGTGTCTTATTTTCTAGATGTACATTTTTTCTTGATAAAAGGTATTGCCATATTTTATTTTTTCCAGTTATTGGTTTGTGTTCCCTTTAATGTTCCTATCCGCTTGAGGTTAAATAGATGACAGACTGTCATTATAAGGTTAAGATCCCTTTAAGGATTGCAAGGGCGGATGCTTTTGGTGATATACAATTACCAACTGACAGCCTGTACAACCAATAGCTCTGAAGAAGTCCTGGAAGTGGGCGGGACGAAAAGCATCAGCTGGCAAGTCCCCGTTCCCTCCTCCCTTTCCCCTGACATCCACATGCTATCTCTGTACGCTATGGTGCCTGCCTGGATTTTGCTAGGCTTAAATCTGAGAATTGGCAGCCATCCACGGGAGTGCAGGCAGATTATTTGCTGGACTTGGAGGTCCCACTGATTTCAGCCTTTATCATTACAGGACCCATTACAGGACCTTTGAGGTTTTTGCCCTGTACAATGACTTTATAACCTTGTTATCCTCTCTGGCCATTGGCCATGGCCATACTGGCCTCTGTTTATTGCCATATATAGTAATGCTACATGTTTATGCATACATGTCTGTCATTTAGCTGTGTCTAATATTTGTATGGTTGGTACATCTAGGAGCCCCCGGTGTGTATAGCAGGCTCATATTCCATCTAGTGGGTGTTGGGGGTGTCAGTGGGCTGGTATCTCCCTAAGCTCCTCTCTCCCCTGTGAGGGGGGGTGTCGGGATGGGAGGGTCCTCCATCTAGGGGAGGGGAGGTTGATAGGCCTGGTGGGGTGGGTTGTGTCTGGGGTTTGGTGTTGGAGGGTTGAGTTAGGGAAGTCCCAGTGGGCCACTTCCATCCTCGGTCCATTCTTGAAGGTCTCCTCTTGATATCTCTGGGGGGGATTGTAGAGTCCTCTGTCATGCAGGACTGTTATGTTTGCGATGTCTTGAGTCCAGATCTCAGTCCCATAGAGGACCTGTGAAGAGATCTCAGAACAGCAGTTGGGAAAAGGTACCCTTCCTATATGAGAGACCTTGAGCAGTTGGCTGAAGAAGAGTGGTCCAAAATTCAAGTAGAGAGGTGCAAGAAACTCATTGATGGTTACAGGAAGCGATTGATTTCAGCTATTTTTCCCAAGAGGTATGCTACAAAATATAAAAATTGTGGGTGCCAACAGTTTTATCCAGTCCATTTTTGGGGTTTTGCGTGGAATGTGTTAGATTTGGCTTTTTGTTTCTCCACTTTTTTGTGTCATACCAATACATGCAAAAGAAATAAAAATGAGAATGCCTAAACATTTGTAATTGCAACAATTTTCTGGGGGAAGTGATGCATTATCTGACAAGAAATGAAGGGGTACCCTATATTTTTGGTCATGACTGTATGTATGAAGATATGGTCTAAAGCTAGCCATAGATGGATCAAACTTTGGCCGGTTCAGCACAGACTGGCTGAATTTTGATCCATGTATGGCTGTTCCAGCTTGACAGAAGTTGATCTAATGAAGAGTGCAGAATCTGGTGCATTTCTGCATGGTAGCCAATCGGCTTCTAATTTTAGCTTGTTTAATTGAGATTTGACCCAAAAAAACAAAAAAAAAAAACTGGAAGCTGATTGGTTTCTATGCACAGCTGCACCAGATTTTGCACTCTCCAGTTTTAGTAATATCTACCCCAATGTCTCAGTGGGGAGGATTCTGCCATCTACCGCCACTGTGTGGATGAAAGAATCATTCCCCCCCCCCCATTCAGCCAGAGATTCATCTACGGCCAGCTTAATGTGTTCTTTTCTTACCTGCAGTCATCAAATGTTGACCCTGGGGAGGATAAAGCCAATCGTTTGCGGAGCTCATCCCTTTCACGTGTTACCTGTCTCAGCTGCGATAATATGGTGTCTAATTTCTCAGTCATGTGACGACTGTCAGCAGCAGAAGGGGGTGGGGATGATGCTTTATTAGTCGTACCTTGAAAACATGTAAAATTTAAAATGTCACTTGAGTCTTCTGCATCAGAAAGTGGGGCAAGCATACATTACACAACACCTGATTTCTGGGTTAGGAGGTGAATCACACACAGGACTTTTTCTCAGGTTAAGTGACTTGTTTATTCGAGCCCATAGGGTAACTTGCATAACAAGTGCCATTTCATGACAACTGGACAGAGGAGGAATAGCTACAAGAATACAAATCACTGATGTACAGTCATCAAAGACTATGATGAAGCACTGATGAACAGCAATGTACTTATCACTGATGTAAAGTCATCAAAGACTATGAGGAAATCAAATTTGTTTTCTACATGTACGGATAGGTTTCCACTGCAATAGTTAAACAGAAAAAAAACCATGAAAAATAGAAAGGAGATTCTAACGCCTACACTACAATATTTCAAAACCTGCATCTGCTTAAGAACAGTTACAAGAAGCGGCCGGGTAGGTTTATTTATACTATCGTAGAAGGGATCTAACATAGGAGTCGGTGTCCGAATACTTTTCAAAGACTTTACATGCAGTCCTGAATGCTTCTGACAACATATTTTCTCAGTGACGGTTCACATATATGCAGATTGGATGTGGTTTGAATTTCATTCAATCTGCATGACATGTGAAAAAACATTGCTTCCTATGGTGCCTGTTCACATATGTCCGATGCACGGACGGTACGGATTCAGTGTGGTTTGAAAAAGAGTCCTGTATGATTTCTGAGCAGTGTGGTTCGGCTCAGGTGCAGATTATAGGCTACTGACTTCTATGGGAACAATTTCTAAAACACACGTGTGAACAGGTTAATCCGACATAAACCACTGAACAACTACTGTGTCAATTAGCTGTGAATTGACATGAGCTTCAATCTGCACCACACATGTGTGAATCAGCATTTAAAGCTTAACTAAAGGCAAAAACTCTCTTTAGTTTTGGATAGGGTAGTGAGGGATTAGATCACCTGTCTGGTTTTTATTGCTGTTTGTTCTTCTGCTAGGGAGACTCACCCTCTCAATTTGTCCTTTTTACTGTTATCGAAAAGTGCAAGTAAAAGAAAATCCCAAATTTCAGGTTGTCCCCTGAACAAGAATAGAGGGGAACGCTTCCAATGGAGACACTAGTTCTGGTGACAACCACTCTCACTTTGGAAGGAGGTTTTAGTTTCTGGTTTTGGCTATGGGACGAAAAGGGAAGAGAAATCTCCCCAATGGGGCAGATATGGGAAAAAAAAAAACCAACAAAAAGGTACAATAACAATCAGTTCTATGCACAGCAGCATTAGATGTAGTAAGCCATTAGTGGCATTACTTTGGTTTAAATATGTCCAGATGTAGCACATTGGTCACAATTGAAGTAAACCTGTGTGATCAACTGACTTTACCCTCCCTAGCAGTCTGATTATGTCCATATTTCTGTGCTCAAAGCGGTACATTTTTTTGCATGGAAATATGTATTTTTTTATTGTAGGCCTGTAATTTTTAGGAATAACTCACTGAAATCTGTCCGAACAAGAGTCTAGTAAACATCCTGGGTAGGATACAATTTGAAACATGAAATCATAAATTATAATTTAATAAATAATCATAAAAAAATAATAATAAATAATAATAATAATAAATGTAATTCAATAATATAATCAAACCAAAAACACTGAAATTTGAAATATAGCGCCAAGTTCGCACATCACTGAGCAAAGTCGCAAAATCATTTTCAGTGTCTAATGATGAATTTCCCCACAAATCATTATCACTCAATTCTGCAAGTGTTTCTGATATACTATCGCTGTTCTCTAGCTGGTTTAAAACCACTTTTGACCTAAAAGGGACGCTTTTTGGACGCCATGGACTTTTCTAAGTTTCCAGGCAGAAAGAACAGTCAAAATGCAGGCAGGGCACAGGACAAAGCACTAGGGACAAAATGTATGTGAAATGGTTTGATACAGTAATGTTATACTATGCGATTTTAGTGAATGTCACTTTTTGTCATTTTCAAATTTCCCGCCGTTCCGTCCCGACGCTCAAAGGGGACAGAACCCAGATGACAGATGCCAGCATCCGCCGGATTACATTGCCGGTGACACTGCACGAGGGACATCGCGGGAGCGCAGGACAAGGTAAGTGATTGAAGGATCGTGGAGCAGCGCTGCATGGTAAGCCCGAGTGTAGCTCGAGGTTACCACTTGAGGTACTGAAACTTTATCCCGAGCTACACTTGGGAATACCGCCAGGGAGGTTAAAGATGTAGGAGAGAACTGACAGCTCATAATAGAGACAAGACATTCTCCTTGCCCCTATCCAGTGATGCAATGCTCAGGGCTTTATAGCAGCCTGTCAGCAGGCACGGGCATTGCCATGTGATGGGCATTCTAACTGCTTTGCAAATATAGACTTTGATAAAGTCTGCCTTTGTCAAGCAATTTTTGTGAGGAAAAATACCTAATGCGTAAAAATAAAAAAAAAAATTAACTGGCAGAGCATGCTCTCATCTATCTCCCCAGGGGCGGACTGACCATTTGGAAACTTGGGCACTGCCCGAGGGCCCGCGGTCAGTAGGGGGCCCCATGAGATGCCCCTGGTACCTTTATCATAGGCTTTTTTGGAGTTTGGGCAAGGACACAGGGGCCCCATGATCCCCTATTGCCCGGGGGCCCCATGAGTTGTCAGTCTGCCCCTGTATCTCCCACAGCTATTAAGCTGGCCATAGATTGAACGAAATTTGGTGCATTCGGCAGCGACTGGTTGAATTGCTATGAGTGCATGGCCATCCCTACTCAACAGAAGTCGATCATTTCATTGACTTTTGTGGAAGAGAAACACTGGAAAATGTTTGCAGATCAGCAGCCGGAGCTACTGATCAGCGTATTTTGACAGCTGTGGGTCCTGCTGTCAGAATACCATGTCCCTACAGAAGGATTCATCCATCCACCTCATAAAAACAAACAAAAAGAAAAGAAAAAAAAAAAAACTACCCGTCTAAGGCCAGCATTAGTTTAGTAGTGTTAAGGATACTACCAGGTCACTGCCTCATCTAACATTGCTGTGCATACAGCTGAACGTCACTGATGTCATTCCTGGCACTGACAAAGTTTTTTTGTCTAAGCAAAATTTAGAGTGAAAAAAGGTTATCAGACATGTTCAGGGTTGCGTGTGAAGCCTCATCTAAAAGTTATTAGGTCACCCTTGTCTGTGTCAGATACTCTCTACAGTAAACAGAATCACAAACTATAAAAGACTTCAGAAGGAAAATAAATGGCCCAGAGGCACAAATGGACTGATTTAATAAGGCAAAGAACAGCATGCAGGAACCCACAGCAAGCAAATAGGACTTATCTGGATGCAGTACATGGGTTGCTATGGGCTACAACACTTTGCATGCTTTACTCAATAAGCCTGCTTGGATCACAAAGTTATGGAATCAAGTCAAAATTGCTGAACATTTTAGCATAAAGATATAAAGTAGTCAGCTTCTGCTTATCTTCATATATTCACGAGTTGTATCATGCTGACAGACACTGAATGCCTGCTGAGAGTCTGCCGATAGTCACATCAAAGGGAGCTGAAAGTTGTATGTAGATCCCAAGCCACTGGATGGAGACTGCTGTTCCAGATCCACAAAGCTACTTATAAGAATAAATTATTCTTGACAGACATTTATAGACTTCTATATTTTGCGCTATTTAGAGAATTAATTTTGCATCTTTCTGCTAGCCTTACCAATTTCCACAATTCCAACACAATCTATAAATATCATAACCAATTAACAGCTTTGCGATTACAGACTGATAAACTAATTTACACCTACAGACTGCATTTGCTTGCTAGTTCCAAGTGATGAATCACAGATAAAGACTAGGACAATGTGCAACAAAATATATGAAATATTAACAGTCTGATGTTTTTGCCAACAACAAAACTATAGATTCCCTGATGCAGTTTAATGTTCCCTGCACATCCTACCATCCCCCTTACTAAAATTCATAAATAAAACCACACCAGTCAGAGAAACACGAACATAAACCCCCATGGCAGAACTGTGAAGGAAGCTGCCGAATACCATGGCAAGGACTCTTTCACATGTGTCCCCGGCACTGGTCATGTAACTTCACAGACCAGATTACATTATCAACCACATGTAGTTTGTTACTGCAGCTATCTGCCTGATGTGCTCTGCTTTATTGTGAATGTTAACAAGTAGCAATAAAAGGTATAGGGACACAATTTGACTGGTGATGCACCAACCCTGTTCCTGAAAAGAAAAGAAAAAAAAAAAAATGAAAAAAGTTCACTTTTTGAAAAAAAAACTAAAAATGTACATTTTTTTGCAGAGAAAAATAAGTGAATATTTTTTTTTCTAATAAGCCTGCAGAGCATTGCACCTGCGATCAGCAGATCTTGGATGCAATCTCAGGCTCCTGAAGACTCACTAGCGCCCTTGTAGTTCATTGAGAGGCTGCAACATGTTACATGTTGCACCTTAAAAACAGGTGGAACATGTAACATGTTCCAAAGGTGAACTTATGCATTAAAGAAGAACAATGCAGGAAAAAAACAAATCTGGTTTTTGGACTTGTTGGATACAGCAAGTAATCAGCCAGATTCAAATAATACAAATAATAAAAAAAACCAAAAAACTACTGTAGAAAAGTGTTTATACTGGAGTTTAAACACTTTTGTGTCCATTTCTGAAGATAAGAGGGTTGCCAACATGAAAATCCCCTAACTTAGATAACTACAGGAACACTGGGATCTATTTATTAAAGCTGGCTCATTCCGGCACTTCTGTACGGAAACCAATCAGCTTCCAGGTTTCATTGCTAAAGCTTAATTGAGCAAGCAGAGATTCGAAGCCAACTGGCTACAATGCATAGGTGCACGAGGACTCTGAGTGAACCAGCTTTAGTAAATCTCCCCCCACCATGCCTTAGGATCACTCATGTCAAGTGGGCCCATGGCTACCGCTTTGTGTCTGTCCCCACCAATGACAGTTGGGATATGCGAAGAAGAACTTGCACTTAAGCAATTTCTTTTTTGTTACCTTTCTTGAATATTGATATTATGTTTAATTTTTGGATGGATAATTCTCTGTTTCCATGTCACAACAGCAACTGAAAGAAATTTACTGATAACTAGAACGTTCTGCCCATAAGCCTGACTTAGAACTACTTGTTAACAAGATGACCTGCCATAGAGTGCACTCTGCTAGGAAGGGAAACCTGGTCTGTGCATTATAATTTGATGTCAACCTGGAGGAACTGTTCATAGGGTGATAAGAAGTACATGGACTGCAGCAAGAACTGGGTGTGGCTAAATTATGCAAGAGGTGCGGCTTAAAAAGCAGCATTGTATCACCTTCACACAAAGAACAAAAACCATACAATTAATGTATATCTAACAATGTAGTAGTAATGTGCCATGCTTATATATAAATGCGCTCACCATTTTATTTTCATATGCATTTTCCACAAATAACCATATCACCATTGTCCGGAAAATGCCTTGGGAGTTACACAGAGAAGCAGTCTCTGGTGAAAGAGGAATCAAGGGAGCTTTGTACATCATGCAGGAAAACAGGGGTAAAGAATAGAGCTACTGCCTGGATTTTAGGGTGTGTTGACATGGCTGCATCACATCACATGACACAAAGCAAGGTCCTGCTTTCTGGCACTGTACACAGTATGGCAGATAACCCATCTGACAGATAAATTTGAGTGGTGAAACTTTTAATAATTAGCACTATGTCCAGCAAATGTCATGCATATTACTGAAAAACTACAAGCAAGGATAACAGAGCCAGAAATTATTGGAGGACTTATTAAGAATTATATGGCTGTCATGGATGAATGGATCAAACAGCAAGATCAACTCTAAGTGCTGGACATGGATTTTGGCTTTCATCCTTTGTTGGTTGATAGTAGCCTTCATTTGCTTAACTTAGGCTGCTCAAAGTGGGGAGACAACCCCAACGAGTTGGTGCTACCTGATCTGAAAAATCCAAATAAGCACCAAAACATCCCATTAAGTATCCATATAGCTTTATTGTTGACCATGAACAGCAACTGACAAGCAATAGTCAATGAGTTATGTCAAACACCTGAAACTGTTTTTTTTACCCACTGTTTATTCATATAGTCAAAATTACAGCTATATGGTGGGTGGCACAGTGGCTTAGTGGTTAGCACGTCTGCCGTGCAGTAAATGGGTCATGGGTTCAATTCCCAACCATGGCGCCTCCTGCATGGAGTTTGCATGTTCTCCCTGTGCTTGCGTGGGTTTCCTCTGGGTACTCCGGTTTCCTTCCACACTCCAAAGACATGCTGGTAGGTCAATTGGCTCCTGTCTAAATTGTCCTAGTTTCATCCCTGGCCATGCGGGACCTCCTGCATGGTAGGGGTTGGGGAAAGGCCTGGCAACCTACCCTGTAAAATAATTGCTAAGAGAATTCATGGAAAAAGTTGCTTAAGAGTGACGGTCCACGCAATCGCCAAGGGTCGGATACGACTGAATGGATAGACAGCTATATGGTGGACACTTGATGTGATAGTTTGGTGCTCTACCTATTTTTGCTCATAAAGGAGTATGAAAACTGTATGTGGCAGCTGATAGAAAGGGGGGGGGGGGTTTAGATATAAGAAACCTTGTTTTTGGCTTCTAGATTTTGGAAAGATTTGCCTAGGCCTGTGTAATTTTATCAGCTTTGATGAAAATAACACATAACAAAAGTTCACACATTCAAGAACACATTTGTTCAATTTCACAAAAATAAATTAATCTATTGCCATTCCTTACCTTTAATTTCCATTTTTTCATCCTGTGTTTTGTGAGCTGCCATAAAGTATCTAGTCCACTGTCCACACAGCTTTATTTGCAATTAAAACTGTGCAATGACTTTCTGCTCCATATCCTCGGACAAAGACGTAGAACAAGTTAGGTGTCTTCTCCATGTGCTAGTGTGATTCACAGTCTTTATTGCAATGCTCTCATGCAATAAAGATCGGTGAATGCTAGAACCAAGCAGCCTCTACATAGGTTTTACTAAGCCTTTTTCATTCTCTTTATGCTATGTAAATACAGCAAATTGTGAATAGCAAAATGCATATCTAGAGGGATTCTGGCTGCTTTCAGGATCTTATTCCTGGTCTAGAGAAAGACAAGCAGTCTTCAAACTGTAGCTAAATCATGCTCCCCAACTGTCCCAGATTTCAGCACAATCCTGGTTTCCTGTGTATTTGGGCTGTGTGCCGGAGTCCAGTGTCGGACCTCCTTTTCCAGCACCTGGCTCCAGCTCTATGCAGATTCTGTGCAGTGCAGGGATCTTCACATTTTCACATTGCTCTAGTCAACAAATAAGCAAGTAAAACAGAAGTCAAATAAATTAACTTTTCCCCGGTTTTGCAAATGGACACCGGGTAGGATTTATTTGGGAGTTCTTACCAACACTGCTGAGGGATCCACTACTTTCTGAGTCTGAAGGCATGGTCGTGAGAACACTGTAAGTGGAACCTGTTGGAAAGCATTAAGAATAATGATCAGCAAAGTGCAATACTACATCTGCTGTATCTGAAGAAGGCCTAGAAAAGATATAGTATGATGACAGACCATTCGCTACTTTAGTATAAATAGAACCCGGCTAACTTAAATGATGGATATCTAAGACACATGCATTACAATGCAAAACATAGAAAATTATGTGTTTACCACTTTCATTTAACAACAGAAACCCAATTTGTCAATCGGATGTACACATAGTCTAGTTATGCAGCTACAAAACTGCTGGAGCACTTAGATTGTCGCTGACTTTTTTGCTTCAACAAAACAAGTTTCAGGACTGTTTTTAGGATGCTCGTAAAAGGACAAGCAGCCATTGAGTAGTTTAACTAGACCATGCAAACAGTTGACTGGCAGAGACCCCAACTGTCTATATGTTAGGCAACATGTTCTTCGGTTTTACAAACATGTTATAACTTGCCTGCTCTGTGCAATGGTTTCACACAGAGCAGCTCTGAACCTCTTCTTCTTGGGTCCGCCACATGTGCATGCTTACTCCGCTGTCTTTCATGCACACACAGTGAGGCTTGGCCCCACCCCCCAGACCCTCCTCACAGTATGTGATTGACAGCAGCAGGAGCCAATGGCTCCTGCTGCTCCCCGAGACCCTGTGAGAGGAGGAAGAGAGGGGAGAGAAGACTGCAGCCGGGCACATTGGTTGGCAAACTATAGCCCCTTTTTGCCTTAAACCAATTACTATATTCACTCTAAGCATGCTTACTGGGTTATAGGATATACGAGAAATGGGGGTGCTGGCTGCCACTAGGATAGGACAACTCTGACAGCAAAAAAGCATTGTCAGAGGCTTTGGCTTTAAGCCTTTTGTAGATTTCATAGACTGGTGTCATTTTTATTTCATTGCACAGACCTTATTGAGCCATGTCAGCAATATGATGTCAAAAACGTATGCTGAACATATGTTCAGTATCTTTCCGATGACTGTAATACACAAACGTTTAAAAGTGCAGCTTGTATTAGATTTACTTATGCAAAGTATGAAGGCACTTTTGGTCAGAAGTGGATTATGCTGGTCACCCTTGGAAATGGTTACTTCCCTTATTTCCACTTTTGGGAAGAACTCTGGGTAGGGAGGAACCAGCTAGTTTCTCCCTCCTGCCCTATACCTACCACCTTCTTCATACACTTAGGCATAATCATCACCTTACAATATTCTGCGCACCAACAAAGTCCCTCTTTTAGCCCAGTTCTGGGACAATATAAAAATATGGAATAATTTGAAACTCCCTCATAGTGAAAACCAAAATTTAGTTAAAATGATCTTTATCCCTCAGCTATTATACCTATTGTATAATTCCCTGGTGGTTGTTCCTCTGAAGACCTTTTGAGTCATTAATGCCATTTTCCACTCTGTGCTTTGGCATAACAGCACACAGAGAAAAAATTGCAGTTAAGTTCAGTGGTCAAAGATGCTGGGGGCAAGGTTCTTCCCCATCCCTGGCTGATTTATGTATCTGCCCAACTGCAACACTTCGCGTGGTGGAAAGCATACCTAAGCCAGCCATCTCGGTCCGCCCGGTGCACATTTCCACTTACAAGTTTCACAGTGTAAAGTATCATCTAGAGCAGGGGTCTGCAACCTTTAAGACATAAAGAGCCACTTGGACCTGTTTCCGAGAGGGAAAAAAAGACTGGGAGCCGCAAAACCATTGCAACATTTAAAACAAATCAGACACTGCATATATTGCAAAAAGCGTTCTGGTCATGAAGGGGGTTTAAGGGCCCAGTAAGCAAAGGGTTAAATCAGGGCCACAGTGTATCGTCATAATCACAATCATAGCCTTAGGTCAGTGGTGGGCAACCTTTTTTTCAACTGAGCCAAATCTCGCCAAAACCACGATTGAAATTTATTTTGAGAGCCACATTTTTAAAAACTGAAAATACATCCCCCATATAGCAATTTCATCCCCCATAGTAATTCATCCCCCCTATAGTAATTCATCCCCCCTATAGTAATTCATCCCCCATATTAATTCATCCCCCATATTAAGTCCCCAAGTCCCCCCTGTGTCAATTCACTTACCTTTGCTCTGCGCGTTCCTCTCGCCATGTTCCCGAGCCGTTCCGGTGTAGCATGAAAATCTGTCTCCTATGAGGATCTGTCCCCCTCGACGTATCTGCGCATGTGCCAGTTTCAGGCATTAGCAGCCGATCGGCGATCTCCGGCACATGCGCAGATACGTCGAGGGGGACAGATCCTCATAGGAGACAGATTTTCATGCTACACCGGTCTTCAGGGCGGACTGTGAGAGGAGCCTAGCTCTGCGGGCTGGATTAAAAGGTCCGCCGGGCCGTAGTTTGCCCATTGCTGCCCTATTGCCTGTCACCTGGTGGGCAGTGTGCTCCGGAGCCGCAGCCACGGTGAAAAAGAGCCGCATGCGGCTCTGGAGCTGCGGGTTGCCGACACCCGATCTAGAGTAATAGCACAAGTTTCACAGTGTAAAGTATCATCTAGAGTAATAGCACAAGTTTCACAGTGTAAAGTATCATCTAGAGTAATAGCACAAGTTTCACAGTGTAAAGTATCATCTAGAGTAATAGCACAAGTTTCACAGTGTAAAGTATCATCTAGAGTAATAGCACAAGTTTCACAGTGTAAAGTATCATCTAGAGTAATAGCACAAGTTTCACAGTGTAAAGTATCATCTAGAGTAATAGCACATACGTAGAATTATTTAAACTTAAATTTGGGAGGCGATGGCTGACAAATGGGATCACTAGTCTCTCTCATATTTTCTGCAATGGCTTCCTATTGTTATTTTCAGAACTCTCAGCTGTGTCATCAAGTATATACAGTATTTTCAATACTTGCAATTCCATCAGACAAGTAATGCACAAGGATCTACTTGTACATGGAGCCTATCTCAAACTACTATCTTTAATTATATGCAGCAGATGAAAACTTCTAAAAAGGGTTTTATTTCTCATAGCTACTCCTTGTTGCTGAATAGTTACCTCGAGGGTTTTCCTGACAGATCTGCCAAGGAATGGAAAGAGGATGTGGGTGATTTGGTGGAAGATGAGTGGGAGTCAGCCCTCCAAACAGTAAAACTGTGTCCACCTAATCACCCCTATAAAGACACTCCCAATTGTATATTTTACTTCATGATCACTACACTTGCACCAAATTTAAAATGATGGTGCTACAGGAACCTACCTCTGGCAGGGGTTGCAGGGACCTTATGCATCTGGTATGACAATGCTCCATATTACATTTATATTGGATGGATGTTGTGAAAATTCTTTCTAGTGTATTTACTGTCACCATACCACTTGATCAGAAACTCTGGACTCCCTGGAGCTACAGGAACTGCCTACCTTTCTTAGCCAAGTAGATTAAAAGTGTGGGAGATATGCTTAAATTTGAACCTTATTTATCTATCAACATAGGGGCTGGCCCAATAAATTTGAAAACTTTGATCGTGCTGGCTCGATATACCTGGCTCGAGCCCCCTGCACCTACTGACTGGCAGACTGGTATCCCTAGTTAATGCACTACCTAGCTTATTTTCTATGTCTCTATGCTTATGACTCCACTTATCAGTGGAAGGTAGTGTAACATTTTCTACGGATACCATTTCATGGTATGTACGCTATGTATATGTTCTTGATAGCAGTTTTGGTATAAGCTTTGAGACGTTTCTATGTCATGTTGTAGTACTTACTAATGTATTGGTTATGATCTGAATTTGTACAGTCTATGCTGAAAAGGTCTAATTTTTTCATGCAATAAAGTTTTTTTTTTTTACTCTTAAATGGGGCAAAAAAAAAAAAGTGGATTATGCCATTTCCCTCTTTACATAGCGATTCTCTAACCCTAGTTCCTCTAAACTAACAAATTATGTAAGTGAGCAGCGCAATTCAAAAACTAAAGAGCGCTCTTTGACAAGTTTAGGGAAATGGACACCTTATTGATTCTGCCCCAAGGATTCTGGAGAGTTAGGCTCTATAAAATGTGAGTGTGTGCATTAAATATGCATGCTGACCCTGTTCACACTTGAGCAATGCTAGTTTGTTGTGTTTTTGGTGCTTTTTTTAGCTCTTTTTTGGAGTGGCACTATTCATTTGAATGGGAGTCCCTCTGCTCCACTGAGCCAAGTGTGTTTTGCGTTGAGTCTTTTGGGGTGGCAAAATGCAAAACTGCTACCAGCTTTTGGGGTGCCAAAAAAAAAAAAATAATGACACCTTTTAGAGCATTTTTCAAGCATTTGCAAAACACTTGTTTCCGCCTGTGTTTCTGCTACACCGACGTGTGAACGGAGCCTAAGGGTTCATGACATGTCTGCAGAATATTGAAAGCAATGCATAGGAGGGTGTGAAAAAGTGGGGGGTGGGGGGCAAAGACAAGATTATACATGGCAGAAGATCTGAACAAAATTTCATGTTGACTGATCAGGCAAGGAAATCATTTAATAACTACAAGCTGAAAGTTTTAGTCTACTGGTTTGTTTGTTTTTGTGGGTTTTTTTTTTTAAAACAGTCCACCAAATCTTGAAATGCAGCTTTATGTTTTTACATTGGTTGCAATCTGCAAAGCTTTTAACACCAAACAATTTGGTTAAAAATGCAACTTCTCAGTGTGAAGTTGTTAATGTGAAATACACATTTCTTAACATCACACCTACTTTGGTTTGTGCTTCATGTGTGAATGAGGGCTTGGATGCAGTTACCTTCCAGCTTGACTGATGGAGATACTGGACTAACGGCTTCTTTATGATGTAATTAAGCCAATTCACTGTGACAAAATTAAACTCCAGGCAAAACAGCTAAATACCTAGATGAAATACGGCGTATAAAGTGGGCTGTTTTATCTGCCTAGAGATTTGCTTTTCCAGCCCTGCCAGACAGTACAGTCAGGTGGATGACACTTCTTACCATTAAAGCCCAACAGCAAGATCATTTCACTAACTGTACAGGTGTTACTAGGTCTTAACCTTGAG